TAGAATCTGACTGTGTTCTAACTTGGAGTCACACTGGTTTTATTTCCAAAGTAGGAATTCATAGAACACCACATTGATTATCTGTCTATAAATTGTGTGCTTTTTTCAACCTCGCTCACTGACACCTGAAGAAGGACCGAGACTCCAAAAGCTTGTGATTTCAAATAAACCTGTTGGACTATAACCTGGTGTCGTGTAATTTCTGACATTTTCCACCCCAGTCCAACACATCATGAATGCACACAAGGACATGGGGGTCCTAGTTCAAGATTTTGTTAAGGTTAACATGCAGGTTCAGTTGGCAGTAGGGAAGGGAAATACAAAGTTAGCATTGAAGACGCTAAAATACAAGAGCAGGGATGTTTTGCTGAGACTGTAAAAGGCTCTGGTCAGACTATATTTGGAATGAGCAGTTTTGGGCCCCGTATTTGAGGAAGGATGTGCTAGCATTGGAGGGGGTCCTGAGGAGGTTTACAAGAATGGTCCAGGGGATGAAGGGCTTGTCATATGAGGAGAGGTTGAGAACTCTGGATCTGTATTTGATGGAGTTTAGAAGGATGTGGGTGGGGACCGCACTAAAACTTACAGAATACTGAGAGGCCTGGATAAAGTGGACATGGAGAAGATGTTTCCAACAGTAGGGGAGACTACAATCTGAGGGCGCAGCCTCAGAGTGAAGGGACAACCCTTTAGAACTGAGATGAGGAGGAATTTCTGCAGGCAGGGGGTGGTGAATCTATGGATCTCATTGCCACAGAATCTGGTCATTGAGTATATTTAAGACAGAGATAGATAGGTCCTTCATTAATAAGAGGGTCAAGGGATACAGAAAAAAGGCAGGAGAATGAGGTTGAGAAAAGTGTCAGCCATGATTGAATGGTACAGCAGACTCGATGGGCCAAATGGCCTATTTGTGCTCCTATGTCTCTTATGGTCTTATGTTTTAGATGTAAAAGGAATAGGGAAATGCATCAATCAATCACTCCCCTGCTTTCCTGCAATGTCACACTTTGAGTTAATGTTCTTGGTCTGACCACTCACAGACACATGGTCTCATCACTGCACTTGCTCTCACTGCTGCTGTTGAGAAACAGTGTCAAAATTGGAAGACCGGTCTCACAGACCAGTCATATTCACGGAATCATGCCTTACAGGCAATGTCCCAGACACCATCACCATTCCTGGATATGTTCTGTCTCACCAGCAAGAGGTGGTGATGGTACAGTGTGATACAGTCAGGAGGGTGCTGCTGTAGGAGTCCTCAATATTAACTCCAGACTCCATGAAGTCTCATGGCTTCAGGTTAAACATGGGCAAGGAAATCTCCTGATTACCACATACCGTCCTCCCGCAGCTGATGAATCAGTACTCCTCTATGTTGAGCAACACTTGGAGGAAGCACTGAGGACGGTAAGG